AAATATTTCAAGTATGGATAACTGATACATTGTTTAATTTATTTAAGACAGTTTTGTGAAGTCTTAAAGGTGATTCATCAGGCTTGTTAACTGCAGCCACAAGATTTACAAGCACATAATGAGTGATAATGTCCCTAGAACAAATAAATAATAGAAAATGTCAGCTCTAAACTGCCTTTTTAAACATGTTTTTGCCTTCAGAGAGAAATTCAACATTAGGGTGATTATTTTATAATGAAGACATTCCTCCCCAACACACAAACTCTTTCACCTATAATATTCACTTCATTGAGGCAAACAAATTGTTTTGAGTTCTTTTTTTCATTTGTAATGTAGAGTTGCCAAGTTAACAAAAGTACATGCAATATTTTGCATACTTACACTGACACATTATTTCTTATTTAATACTTACACTAAAGCATTATTTGTTACTTGTCTGAAATTCAAATTTAACTGGGTGTCCCATGTTTTATCTGACAATCCTACTTATATGTGCAATTCAGCAAAACATGAATGTTTCAAATTTGAAGGTTGAGATAGCAGTTTTGTAGGCACGATGGAAAATGTTATCGTGCCACCTTCTGAATACCTGTCTGTGGCTGGGAAGCCTAAGTGACAGTGGGAAGATGAGAGTCCCACAGAGGAGATGGGAGAGGAGAGAGGTAAGGCACAAGGGAGGCAAAACAGGATACCCAGAAAGGATCGGGCTCCATCAGAGACTACAGAAGCAAGGTGACCAGAGGGAAATGCGAAATGGGAGCACTGAAGAGTTTTAAACAGTCTGATGGCTTTCACAGATTGATCCGTCTCTGCTCCGCAGACCTCGGAGTTCAATGTTACCCACATGGGATCTCTTTAAGAGGAAGTTCAGCCACTTCCCGGAGGGCTCCCGGCGAAAAAATGTTAACCTGAAAAATTTTCCTGACTCCGTTAGTGAACTGACCTGTGACTACCAGGTGAGCTCCGCGCTCCCCCTGGTGGCTACGGCGAGCATCGCGCCCCCGACCCTGCCTCGCTCATCCCTGAGCCTTGACTTCTCGCCTTCCCTCGCAGGACGCTGCCCATCAGCTCCCTTCGCTCTCCCTGCCTTCTTTTCCTGTCGGCTCATTCATTCGGGGCCTGCCCTCGGCGTGACACCTCCCAACCACTCTGGCCCTAGGACGAGGCCACACAGAGCTGGGCATTGTTGCCCCAGTTCTGGGACCACCCGGGTGGGAGAGGGGGAAGCGCGGCCGCCGGGAGGCCGGATGAGTGACAGCAGCCTGGGGTCAGCTGCGCGGCCGCCCGGAAAGAGGGCCTGCGCTGCGGTCCCCGCAGGGTCGTCCCCTGGTCCCCTCCCTCCATCGGGAAACGAGGCTCTCCTCCAAGCTTCCTCCACACCCATTCCATTAGCAGCACTAAAATTTCTGTTTTCAACATGGGGTATGTGAATAAAGGCATGGAAAAAAGGATTTTATGGGTAAAGTGAGATTCTTTCCCTTGGAAAAGGGAATCCTACTTGAGTCGGACAGCGGTGGTGACGCACGAATATGGGAAGGCGGGGACATAGACTCCCAACTTGTGATGGTAGGATTTTAAAAAGTTGTTAAAAGTATTTATCAGAAAATTTAAAATACAAATTTGTTAAATGCATTTATCAGGAGAAAGTGTTACCCGGAATATTTTTCATAGCTCCATTTGTGAACAGATCCGCGACTACCACGTGCAGGCAGGGCTCTAGGCCCGCCTGTCCGTCCTGCGCACACTGCCGCTGGGCGGCCGGTCCCTCAGCCCCTCCACAGTGGCCGCAGTGGCCTCTCCACAGACCTGCACGGAGGAGGTGGGCTAAACACAGCTCAGGCCACAGAAGGGAAGGAAACTGGTCACTGCCGGAGGCAGCACTTCCTAGCAGTGGATTGACCTTCTGTGGCACTTCCAAGAATGCTTCTCAGTGTCCATAATGCTTCACAGGTTTACAAATATCGGTCCCTTCAGGGGTCCAGGTTTGGTTCCCTCAGACTGTGAGCAGTCTTCCTTTTACCAAATCGGCCATGTGAATTCCATATACGCCTTCAAAAAAGTTAGGATGTATATGGATCAAACACAGTGATTTGTGGATTTTGAGGGGGTCATAGATCCTTTACAGGAATTGATGGAAAGTAAGGATTTCACTCCCCGAAAAGACAAATGCACAAAACTTTTCCCACAATTTCTAGGGGTCTGAACCTTGAAGTCTTCATATGGAGGACCTATGGGTCCAAGGACTGACCCTGCTTAAGAGCTTTTCCTCTAGGTGGCTGCCATCCACAGGTAGAGGGTCAGATTAAAGGGTATCCAGACACAACTTCAGTCTGGAGATTTCGTGATATCACTTGCCAATTCTTTATTAGAAAGCACGAAGGAAATAAGTAGTCATCCATAAGTCATTCTTAATGAGTGGTTCATTAGCACAATGGCTGTTTCTGGAAATCTCTTGAGACCTTACTCAGCTCTTTCCACAAATGGTAGTAATAATCACAGGGATAAATCTACCTAATTTGAAGGTCAGACAGGAAATTACTTTTTTGGAAGAGCCCATGGTGGTATTACACTTCTCTAATCCCAACATGGAAATGATTCAATTTACCTGAGAAATTTAAGTCTGACAGGGACAAGTAAGTGCAGGCTATTACAGTAAAGTGCTTCTTCCCTCACCTCCTCCTGTTTCCAGCTCCAGTTCTTGGAGTTGAGCAGGGGAAGAATGTCCTTATTTTCTTGTGGCTCCCCCCTCCCCCGCACTGGTTCAGCTAACATCTTGCCTTGCTGCGTGGCATCCTTCCCCAACATGCCCTGCGCTCCTTGCAATACTTCCATGAATGGAAAATTTATTTTCCTCTGGGGAAAAGAATAACAACGACATGCAAAGATATTAATGTAAAACTATTTTTTTCTTTATTGAAAATACATCTACACAGTAATGCTTCCCAGTCCACACTGGGTGCACGTGTATGCAGAGCCTGTGATGGGCTGGCGAGGATCCCCCTAAAGGACCTGCTTTCCATAAGAAATGGTTAGTATAAAAAAAATCACATTGTGTAACAGAATTAATTTGACAGGATTAATTTTTGCTCTACTAGTGTCATGACAACAATGTACATTATCTTTTGTAGTGTATTTCCCAAATAGAGCCTTGACATCAAATGGTTACTCCACCATTGCCTAATGTTAACTTTTACACACATATAATGCTCAGGATCTATATAAAAATATCTCTAATTATATATCAAAGGATGTATGTCTAGATTTTCAGTCTGTTAGCATAATTAAGTCCATTCTTCACCATTTTCAGTCAGAAACTCAAACACAGCTGGTATTGTCTAACAGCTCCCACTTAGTGTCTCTGACTGGATATTCCTGATGGGATAAAAATTAATCTCCTCTAAACCTGGGAGCTCCCTTGCCTGAAACTAATGCCCCTGCTGTTTTTCCTTGCGATCTTACTGACACTGTCTTCATACTGATTCATCTTCTACCATTCCTCTTAGGGACACAAACAAAACAAAAGCAAACCCCACTTTGGCTGAAAGTTTTGAATGACTTGGGAAGTGGGATTCCCACACAAAGACGTATCTTGTTTCTCTCATTCTAAGAACTTCTGATTAAAGTAAAAAACATTTTCAAATACTGGATCACTCACCCAACTCATAGAATGAGCTCTCTATCAGAGAGCTCATTCATTTAACTTCTTTTAAAATACATAAGTGATCTTATATTTTGGTATGCAGACTTTATTGGGGAATGATTTTGAACTGAAGAGAAAAAGTGTTTCAGGTAGAACAAAACAAAACTAAAATGAACCTCTCCTTTTTTATTCTTCCTTGAAGACCTCTACTCTTAATGTTTTAAAATTCATTTTTTATAAGGTCAGCTTTGCTCCATTCTTTCCTAGCTCTTTAGTGTTCCATAGTATGACCACGAGCACCTTTGCTAGTGTTTCATAGTATGACCACGAGCACCCTTGCTAATTATTAGTCTTCTGTTTTATTTTCAAAGTCTATCATCAGTTGAGGAATGGTGGGAGAGACATCCTTCCCAAAACAATCCCTTCAGTTTGGGAGGAGTAGGAAAGGAGGGAATACTTTCTCTGTTGGGAAGAACTGGGCAAAGGGTTTTATGAATAATCCCACTCCTGGAATGGCCTCCCACCTGGCAACTTGCATACACAACTGGCATTTTGAACACAGGAGCTGTTGAACCACACAGCCATCCTGCCCCTAGTTAGAAATATTCACTCCCATTAAGTGTCCTTTCTGAAAGCCTGGTGCTGCGTGGACTGGTACTTGGTACCAGGTGTTCCGAGGGAAAATAGAGGGCAGGCTCTTTTATGATGTCACAGGATGTCTGGGGTAGAAGCAACCAGGGAGGCATCTGGGGAAGTCACTCATTTTATAGATGAGGACACTGAGGCCTAGAGATGACATATGACTTACTCAAAGCCATGTGAAAACTTCACTTTCTGCCCCTCCCCACCGCTGTGCTAGGTGTGTATATTCACCCAGCTACTAATAAAATACCTACAACAGTGTGAAGAGAAAGGGAAAAATCTCTTCTACTGTCCCACTGATAACAGATTGCAGTTCATCAAGTGTTATATTTTGAGACTAAAACTCGATTATGTTCTGAAGGATTTTTAAATTGCAAAAGTTGATTTAAAAACGCTTTTAGACTATTATTTGCTTGATTCTCTAACTTACAAAAAAATCACATTTACAGGATTATGTGCCACACACACACTTATAAGATCTGATCAAGACTATTTTTGATCTCAGTACCTCATTAAGACTAACATGAAATGATTTAAAAATTTCCAAATGTGGGATGAAAATTATACATTTTGGCCACTGCAAAATGCTCCCTTATTTTTGGATGCATACTGTCCAATCTTCTCAGAGTAAGGAGGGAGATGAGGGGCTTACTGGAGAGAATGAGCTGTAACGAGATGGAGACATTTTATAACGGTTTTCAAACACCTGGTGCTCAAGAAAGCATTTCTTTATGTTAGTCTACATCTTGGTTTCACTGTCGATGGGTTTCTCAGTTTCATTGTCCTGGGCAATCAGCTGATACGGTTTCTTCATTTCATTTTCTTCAATCACTGAGTTACCCATTTCAACATCTCGGTTCTTCAGTTCGTGTCGTGACAAGTGCTCAACAATCCCAGCTCCAAGGGAGTCTCCCAGCACGTTGGTGGTGGTTCGGAGGCGGTCCCTGCAGGCAGGGTGGAGAGGAAGGAAAAATGACGCTCCTGTGAACATCAGGAGATTTCAATTTATGCTACGAACTGACTGGCACTGTCTTTAGAAGCATCTTTTAAAATTCAGTTTGGTGTATCCATCAACAGCATGATTACCTAACAGACACATAACATTTATAACCGTACCTATTAAAAGTTCTAAGGACATAGATGAACAGTGTTTACTAAGTTACTAGTCTGACTGTAGCTAGAGTCCCAACAGTGGGGAATGACCCTTTTTTTTCTCCTTTCATTTAAAATTTCTCTTCCTCTAAACTCACACTCCTTTATACCACAGGTTCCCAAAGTGTGGTCCAGAGACCCTGAGTGTTCCTGAGGTCAAAATTATTCTCTTAATACACTAAGATGTCATTTGCCCCTTCCACTCTCATTTCCTCGTGAACGTATGGTGGAGTTTTGCAAAGACTCCACCCACCATGTGTGCTATCACAACACAGACAATGCAGAAGCAGTTAGGAAACTCTAGCTGTCTTGTGCTAAGCCAGACAGTAAGGGAACTTGCAAAATGTAGAGTGGCCATTCTTTTCACTACATTTTTAGTTTGAAAACGGTTATTTTTCACAAAAAAGTTATTTATGTTAACATGTAATAAATTTATTAATGTAACCTCTAAAT